CTAAGGGACAGGTAGCTAAGGGAGAGACCGCTAAGGGAGAGGCAGCTAAGGGAGAGGCCGCTAAGGGAGTGCCCGCTAAGGGACAGGTAGCTAAGGGAGAGACCGCTAAGGGAGAGGCAGCTAAGGGAGAGGCCGCTAAGGGAGAGGCCGCTAAGGGAGAGACAGCTAAGGGAGAGGCCGCTAAGGGAGAGGCAGCTAAGGGAGAGGCCGCTAAGGGAGTGCCCGCTAAGGAAGAGGCCGCTAAGGGAGAGGCCGCTAAGGGAGAGGCAGCTAAGGGAGAGGCCGCTAACGGAGAGGCAGCTAAGGGAGAGGCAGCTAAGGGAGTGGCCGCTAAGGGAGAGGCAGCTAAGGGAGAGGCCAGCTGGTATCTCCTGTGCTATGATTCTTCTCTCTAAGTGGGCCCATAAACTTTAACAGGGAGGTCTGTTAGTCCACTCAACATCAGAACTGCTAAATTGCAACAATATGTAGTTATATTTCACACCCAATACTAAAACACTGTCCTTCACCCCCCCGTGCCAAAGCTTCCAGAGCTTCAGAGTTATTAATTACGGAGCATTTCTGGACTAATGATGGAGGATCCCTCAGTGCTCCAATTCCCTTCATTCAGTGGCACTCAATAGTGTTTTGATTCCATTTTTCAGTGGAATTCTGTTTACCAACATTAAAATTATTTTCCAAGGAGAGCATATAATACTTGAAAACTGTATCATCTTGGCACATGGCATCACATACACACCCCGGAGTAAGAACCTAACAACTGTATCACCATTCACAGGAAATTCGACTCTAAATCTTTAATACCAAATAACCCAGACATTATGAGATTGTATCTAGTCTGACCCATACAAAAATGGCTCCTCAGACACACAGTCTAGCATTCATTTAGAAGCGCTGGTAGAAAGAACAGACTCGTTCACGAAGTACCTATGACTGAACACATTTTTGGATGCCGAGGTTTTCACAGCACACACACACCGTGTGGTTTGCTCATGCTCCTGCCAGGACGCACCGGCCCAGAGATCCTCCGTACCCGAGTGCGGGGGCCCGAACACTGCTGGCGCAGCATGTCTGGGCGGACGTCGCTGTCTTCACTGTGCTGCTCCGGCCACACATTCCCCCAGAGCCGCGCTGAGTAAATGCTGGGCCGCTTTGGGAAGCACCGGTCTGGAAGCCGCAGGCATCAATCCGCAAGCAGGGTGCGATGAAAACGTTACTGTACACAAACAGAGAGGCGGAGAGCTGGAGGCCAGGGAGACGAGGAAGGCTGGTTCATCGCGCAAAAGTCGCAGAAACACAGACAGGCAGGGGAAGCGGGGGGGTCTGATTGGGTGTCTTGTTTATTCAACAATATTTTATGTAACACTCCGGGTTCAGACAGCATGTGTTTCATGGTTTTTTTTGAGCAATCTCAAACGTCAGATCACTGTCTAAATGTCGTGTTCATACTACTGAATTAAACGCTGCATGACGAGCGTGTTTTTCCAGAACATTGGGAATTCAGTAAAGGCATTTCATTAACGGCGTATGTGCGACTGACGGTGCTATGCAAAGGTCTTTGGCCAACAAAGAAAATGTTTAAGACTGTTTATCTGGGTGGTAAATATATACCTGCTAAGAATAAATAAATAAATTCAACATAGGAACATATGCAAATTAACATTAATGCACTAAAAAATTAACTTGAATTTCTTCTGTTCTCCAAAAAGTTACTGATATCTAGTTGCATGGCTAGATGAACCTCGCTTCAGTTCCCCAACCTCTCCTCAGGGGCACCTCAGCCATTCCGTGGCCAGGGAGGAGGTTGTAGCTGTTAGTCTGGTACAATCTCCTGCATTATGACTGACTTAGGTCTATGTCGTGATTATTTACTTTCCAAGCCGTCAGTCCATCTTTCAGTCAGTCGTCCTGGTCAGGGTTACCTGGGTCCTGTGTTGGGCAGTACAAGGCTGGGACACATTCTGGAGAGGAAGGCCATCCATATATTATGGGTAAGTCAGAGACTGCTCATCTTTGGACTACTGAGGAAGCAAAATGTACACGTGCAGTGAAGAGATGGGATTTGAACCCCAAATTGACAATAAAAGATTTGTTTGTTTAAAGGAGACAGTATGAAATACCTTTCTTGGCCACAGAGCTCCAAGGTGGAAAGGATGTAAAACTGTGTGAGGAAACAGCACAAGCTGTGTGTGTGTGTGTGTGTGTGTGTGTGTGTATTGGTTTAGGCACAGGGTAGTGAACAAAGCTGCTTTTCAAAGGAGACTTCTTTCCAAACACTTCAGATCCAACATGTCTCCAACAAACATGGAAGAACATCTCTGCAGTCCAGTTTACCTTTTGTTATATTTAATGTTTTTTATACCTACGCTAAATTTGTCCAAGGCCAGTAATGTGGCCAAATGCGAAAGAATCTCCAGCCCATTCCGCTGACATCTCAGTGTGCATGAAGTGTCTGACATGGCACCTTGGTGCTTAGGTGGGTGGAAAGATGTAAGTTTTTTTTTTACATGAATAAAAGGGGGGTTGTGAATGTAACTCTATCTTCTTCTCCACCTCATTTCTCATTGCTCATTTGAGTCTCCAGGTTCACTGTCTTTAGGGGGAGCATATCAAGACTGTGCTTCAAGCATTTTGGGGCCCTCATTATCGATGTTCTTATTTGTAGTCCTGTGGCTTGGGCCTTGTGCTCTTATTGCCCCCACGGTTGAGGGATGGGGCTTCATGGACCCCCAGTACCAGGCTGAGATGGCAGCAGGTGCAACTGTGGTGGAAGAGACTCTCTCAGGTAAGTGTTACCCAGAAATTGTCATTGTCATTGTCATTTGCACAGGTGCATCTGTGTCATGTGACCCATTCCATTCCCAGTACTCCAACTACAGACCATGGTTGCCATGTAAATGGGACGTCCCTGAGAGGTACAGTGTGGGTCACAATGTGCTGGCTAATGAGCTGCTCTTTTGCAATTTTTAAAGGTATTTAATACGCTCTAGTTTTATCTAAATTATTGGTTCTGTGTTTTAATTCCATAGAAGTATAATTTGATCATGCTGATTCTTTTAAAAAGTTGAAAATACATTTATTGTCTAGTCTGTGAATTACTATCTGTTATTCTTTAAGGTTGTATTATACTAACAAAAATGTGCTTAGCTAGGGTTCAGGAAGGGTTGCAAAAAACATGTTGTTTACTATAAATGTCACTACATGCAAATATTACTTTAACAAGTTGTTGGTAATGCAAACAGAACATTTCCGATGATTTCCTGAGTGTATAAACACTGCCCTCCTCGGTCATCCAGCATAAACGGTTTCGGGATAGCTTTTCCGTAAATAACAGGCCAGCTCCTCACTCACACTGTGTTACAAATCTTTGACATTGACAGTACCCTTGCTTGTGGGGGCGTCCGTATGAGGTTAGTCCCTTTGCTCAATGAGATTAATGTCCTGCTTGCTGAGCTCTGCAGTCTCCTTCTTCAGCCCATCCTTCAATGCTGACCTTGAAAAATGAAGAAGATGATGACGGGGACAGAAGTGAGAGCATGGGCAAGAAAGGAGAAGGTGATGACCAGCTTTTGGTGACCACCATCATTCCACGTCCTGCTTCTCTCAGTGAGGTCAGCAAGCTTGCATTGTTAACCTATTTATCCAGCAGGCTTTCATTTTCCTGGAACAATGCGGCTATAGTTTGTTCTTTATTTATTTTGCTGGCCGATGAACGTGAAGGGATGTTAGCATGGTGCTGAAAAAGTGATAACAGATGGGTTGTTTTAAAAGATGAGGCCTGGTTGCACAGGGGTCAGTTCTTTGAACTTTCAGTAAACACGGCAGGGGGATGAATTTGGGGTTAATTTTCCTGCATTTGGTAAAGGTGAAAGATGACACTGAAGGAGAAGCACAAAGTGTCAGCAAACAACTGATGGATGAGGATGATGAAAGTGATGAGGATGAAGATGAAAGTGATGAGGAAGACAATGATGACGAAGATGACCAGGATGACAGTGAGGAGGACGGAGATGATAATGATGAGGAGGATAATGAGGATGATGAGGCCAAGGAGGAGGAGGTAAACAATGGCCATGCAGATCCCCTTCCCGACGCAAAGTTGTCCAACAGGACCAGCTTCAGAAATCCCCTTCCAGAGGGATGTCAACTGGCTGATTCCCGAATTACCTGCCAGGGTCTCTACATCACCCACCTGCCAAACATCACTGGCCCGGGAGTCACGGCCTTCCAGCTGTCGGGTGAGGCGGGAGGTGTGGGCTGGGGTGCAGGATCTCAGCTAAAGGACAGAGGATGCTCAGGCGTCTGATTTTTATATCGACCACATCTTCTGTGTTGGTTTTACCTTTAGTGGCATTTTCCTTATTACAGTTGCAGTATATGTTTGAATGACAGAATCGCAGTGTGCTGCTTCACAGCAATGTGGTTTCGAATCATTTCTGGTGTGTGAGGATAATGACTCGTGTCAGTCTTTATGTAGGCGGTCAGGTGCGTAAGATCCCTGTGAGATCCCTGGCTGGGCTGCCACACCTGGAGTGGCTGGATCTCCATCAGAATGAGCTGACCGACACCTCCCTCGCTCCCACCCTGTTCCGAGTAAGTCTTTTGAGGGTGTCATGATTGCACGGATCTATCCGTGGCATTGCTGCGTTCGGAAGGTTTTGCATGTGTTTGGGGACTTGTTTCTGCTGAAACAGGAACCATTGGATAAAATTTAATGTATAATGGTGCAACAGCAGAGCCCTCTGTGACGCTAGTTGTTGTAGCCTTATGGTTGTAAATCCTTAATCTTAAACAATATGCCATATGCTGCTCACTGAACAAAGCAGTCACATCCCAGCAGTGCTCTGACAACCTGAATCTGCTGCCACCTGGTGGATGATAATGACAGAACCAATATGGTTTAGGTAAATATGACATTCCGGAGGTAGATATGAGAAAACTGTGAGTCAACATTGGAAACCACACAGAAAACAGGACCCAAATGGTATGGGTGGGTGTGAACCTGACTCTGGGACCTCGGAGGCCAGAAATCTGAGACGTTAGTGTCAAAATTCTCACCTAAACACACCTATCTGCTGTGGAATACATAGTAGCAAAGTGTCTTCATCTCACTCGGATTTTCAGGTCTCCACAACTCCAGAAGCCCAGATGATGATGGTGATGATTAGACTTTTTATTGATCCCGTGAGGAAATTCACTTTTCTCCTACTCCATCTTGCTGTTTGTAGGTGAGAGCAAGCTTGGCAGCGAAGGGCAGCCACCCATAGCAATGCCCCCACAGCTGGGTGTTAAGGACCTTTGTCAAGGGCCCACAGACATGCCAAGGCCAGGCTCGAACCGGCGACCTGCCAATCATACGCACAGGGGCTTAGCCCACTGAACATTACATATCATTACTATTGTATATTAAAAAACGTTTATTTGGTTACAAAATATATTCTATAATTTCAGGGTCACCCAGTTAAGAACTTGGAAAAAATGAGCCTTGTTTTGTCTGAATCACTGCATGTGAAAAGCACATGAGTAGTTCTTGGCAGTGTCTTCCCTTGTCCATGAAAATCTTTGTGAAACAGTATCTATGAAGCCCGAACAGAAAGGAAACATTTAGATCACTAAAAACAGTTTAGGTGCCTTTATACGGGCTGAAAACTCTCCGTCATTATTCTTTCACCACAACCCACAAATGAGGTTTTCATGCTACTGTAGGACCATTTGGAATTTTTAAACACAAGCCATCTGGACAGACCCTAATCTTTAATTGTTACTTTTGAATCCTCTCCAGCTGGACTTCAGCTCCCTTCAGAACCTCTGAAGTGGGTCTACTTGGAAAGCATCAGAACACAACAATTAATGGCATCCCAATCTGACCGGCTGTGCCGGAACGAGACAGGTCCACAAATAAACACAGGTGCTGTAGATGTGCGACCGCGCCCCCTAGTGGGAGGTATGAGGCAGTGAAGGATCCTTTGGCAAGCGGACACTGTGGTGACCGCAGCTGGACCATACTGGCGCTTTTCAGGACGCTGGTTACGCGGTCACTGTGTATCAAGGCTCGCAAAGCAGGAAGAAATTCTTTGAAAACTTTTACTATATCCTGTCCTCACTTCCCACAAATAACAGATGGAAAAAAACCGAGAGGGGATACATTCGTATGTCTAGTGTGGGATTATAGGCTGACACTAGGTCCACATTTAGATTCCAAAAACAGGCACAAAATGCGTTTCTTAGAAGTTCTGCTGTCAGTTAGTCAAAGTCTCAGACGATCATTCTGGAGCATCATTGCTTGAACATGACAGACTACTACTCTTGCTTAGAACTGAAATTGATAGGTAAAATATTTTTAAACTGTTGAGTAATTTTTAGCTGTTACCAGCTGAAATTTTTAAATGGAGACACTATTATGGCCCTTCAAGGTACAGGCTGTCACACTGAATTATGAAGATGCATGGGTAGAATGGAGGACACTCTGTGAAGGCAGATCGCAAGAGAAATGTGACAAAATAAAGGAAGAAATGAGCAGACAGAAGGAGCCGTTTATTGCAGCAAGGATGTGATAATTAAAGGCTTTATTTGACAAAACCTGAGGTGCACAGTGAAGACTTTGCTATTTAAGGAAAAGCTGTCAAACGCAACGGGGTCATCTGAGGATTTTGTGCTTTTAAATATGCTATATATTGTTTAACTTTGAAATAGGATGGTACATCTGGAGTTTACAATAAAATAAAAGTTTTTGGTTGGAAACAGCGACTTTTAGTGGGTATTTGCAATCGTGGGTAGGTTTATAGAGTGTGCAAAGGTGGTCTGTTTGCTGAGGCAGCTGGCCAGGAGTCACTAATGTCACTAATGTCAGGTGACAGGCAGGCATGTCTTCTGAGTTCTGAATTAATACAAATGTGCAACAAGGACTGGGGAACTAATTACGGAGTTTTTCAGCTCAGTAGTGGACAGAGAAGTACTTAAAAGGGGGTGGAAGAAATACTTTCTAAATTCTTTGTATTTTTGCCTTTCCTTTGGTAGTAGAATGTTTTTGGTTTGACATCTCATGCATGGTGTTCTATTTCTGAAAACATTTTTACAGGTTTGGGCTGCAGGCATATCTCACAGTAAACATCGCCAGTGTCTCCATCTTCTTTGCTTTTCTTACTTTATGAAGTCTCGTAGCTTATATGTCTTCTGCCGTGGTTTAGGTTATTTTCAGTGATTTTATTGAAGTCTCATGCCTTCCAGTCTCCTGATTTTTTGGGTCAAGCCTTACCATACTCTTGGCTTGTTGTAGAATCTGTCAATCCTGAAGAAACTCAACCTGGACAACAACAATCTGACAAAGATCCCACTTCTGCCACAATCGCTTGAGGAGCTCAAGATCAATGACAACAAAATCAGTTGGCTTACACCCCACAGCTTCAAAGGTGTGGGTGTGTCTGTGTGTCCATGAATGCAACTGTTTTGAGTTGATCTTTCTGTATCAGCAGAAGCTGTAATGCTGCTGTCCAGCACTGAGTGTCTGTCTGTCTTCAGGTTTGTTCAAACTGCTGACTCTGGAACTCCAAGGCAATGGCCTCCATGAGGGAAAGGTGTCCCCTCTGACCTTCAGGCCACTCCGGAAACTAATCCAACTACGACTGGATGACAACCAGTTTAGAGCAATCCCATCAGGGCTGCCTCCCTCCCTTCAGGTAACAACACAGAATTTCTGTAGTGACCTCTACAGGCAGGATGATGTAAAGCAGTGATTAACTCGTTGGTAATGTACTGTTTTTCATTGTCCATTCCCTGAACATTATAGTAGGGTATGAAGTATTGGTCTTGAGTTACTTGCATGAATATCTAAATCAACTCGCAGAACTACACACGTATCCTTCACTAATAAGCATTATAAATATGTCTACAAAATAAAATGTAGCAATTTGGGTGATTTGATTTAATTCGAAGCATGTGAAGTATTTTATAAGTTTTATAAGTCTGCTCTTCAACAGAGGCTCCGGTTCTCACAAAACCAATTGGAGGAGCTGACAGTAAACTCTCTGAAGCTGATCCAACTTAAGGTTCTGGTCCTGAGTCAGAACAGGCTGCAGGATGACCGCATAGCACCACGAGCATGGACGCATCTACCGTAAGCTCTCTCTTCTCCCTCTGTTACTGTTCAATTGTTGTAAATATTAGGACTACTGTCATGCCATTTCACCATTTACCACAAGAGTGTGCCATTTGGTCCTTGACCGCATGTGTTCATTCAGGATAAGGTGCTTGGCTCTACTGGGACCATGGCATTAAGTCTTGGACTTACTCTTTTTGCTGGTTATCATTTTAACTCAACGCAAAATGAAAAATGGATGCTGAAAGGACTCGAGCTGTATGTCATAGTCTGAATGTGTGTCCTCAAGTCACTGGGGTGATACAGTGACTGCTTTTTGGGGTCTTTTTTGAAGGTAAGATATTCTGCATAATTATCTGTTGAGAAGTGCAGCCGTGGGAACATCTGGAGATGTTTAAATATATTTTAAAAAAAGATAGCTCTATTTGTTGAATAGACAGGGGTCCATGGCTGGGCATGGACACTTGTATTGTTCAAATATTGTAAAATTCCATGCGTTTTTTGTCTCTGTGGAATCCTTGGGAACCAACTGAATCTATCCAAGAGTGTACACATACGTTTGGGTAGCAGAAAACATAGTGTCGCCCATCTCCGAGCAGGACGGAGATGAGATTAACACCCCACTCCAAACCACAGTATGATTGGGTCTCCAATGTGATCCCACAATGCTGATTGCAAAAGACAGTGTTTATGACCAACTGTAGTCAGTCTAGTTAGTTTCATTATTTTATGTGTATGTTTAAAGGCTTAAAAATGGGCTAATTACAATATTTCCCAAACAAGAGCACCGGGACAATGAAGACACCATGAACATCAGAAGGAAATCATGTTATGTCATTCTGGTGGATCCATTGTGTTCTGGCCTATTATTGAAGCAAAAGAACTATTGCAACACCATTTTATAAACAGGAAGACAGAACTACATTCTGCAGTAAACAAAAAGGGAAAGTCAAAACTTGTTTTGCGATTATCCCAGACATTTAGATGTTGTAGTCCATACCCATGGTGAAAGCTTAGTGTAGACTGGTTACTTTGATGAATCGATCAAAATTAAGGTGACCATATTTTGCTTTGCAAGAAACAGGACACCTGGAGCAGAATGCAAAGTGAGGCGTCGAAGCAGCTTAGATATGCTCACAGAAAGTCTTCTGACTATAGAAAGCAAATGGCAACATGGAACAAAGCAAGATCCTGGACATTTAAGGCATCATTAGGTCCCAAAAAAAGTCTGGGAAAAGGAGAATGTATGCGTACTCTAATCAAAATTAGTTTTGTTTAATTTGTTGTGGAGTGACACTGACCAATCTACATTATTAATCAGGTGTTTAGGAGCAGCAGATGGCTGAGTAACTTGAAGTGTTCATTCTCACTCTTTCCCATGTTTCATTGGTACATTTACTTTGGTGCCACATTCCTGCCATTCTCCAATCACAGCTTGACTTTTGCGTGGAAACAAGTACAAAAAAAGCTCATGTCAAGTGTTATGTTTCCCATATCCCTTTAGTCATGGTGAGGGCTTCACCATCCATTGAGGAGCCCAAATCTCCAAGAATCTAAGGAAGTGGTTCACATTGTATAACGGGAACAAAGACTGAACCCCGGTTAGAACAGTAGGAATTTCTGAGGCTGTGGATCTCCGGGGCTGCATGTGGTTGGTGCTGTCTGTGCGGTCTGGTCCCACTCACACATGGGGCTGAACCCCATTAATTCTGTATTGTTTTCTTTCTCAGTGACTCAGCACTTCATGTTTTTTGATTTTGGCTTCAGTGTTTAGTATTTTTTTGTAACCTTGCAATTTTAACACAACTCCCAGCAGCCATTGTTTTCAAATTTAGTTCCCTGACATTAAGTAAATCAGGGCTTGCGAATGTTAGTGTTGGTCGTGGTCTGTTGGTCACTCTCCACCCACCTCCTTCCAAACTCCCGTGTCATGGCTGTTGTCAGTAAACAGCTGGAGAGAAGAAAGGCCGCGAATTATTTTAGGGTACGCGGTCAAATTTCACTCTATGGCTTTTCGTCTTGTAGGAAAAAGACTAGCATTCTTACCACAGCTTTAAAATTTCTACTTCTGAGGTAACAAGTCCAGAGCAGTCAAAAAATGAGCTGCAGGTGTTCTGGGTATGAGCCTCTGTCTTCGACGTTGGCTCTCTGGCATCCAAGAAAGTGGGAATGCGGGAGCATATACCCATCTCATTTCATACTGGTCGTGATTTAACTTCGGACCCCATCGATGTCTTTAATCTTATCATTCATGCACACATCCAGATCTAGACATTTTTTAATCTAAAACTTTGAAATTTCCACAAGATGAGGATGGCTGAAAAAGTTCCTTCAACTCGTTCCAACATCAACAACCCAAAGTATGGCTTTCATGCACAGCCTTAAGTAATTCTATGTTTTTTTGTTTCAATTCATGATTGATAAAACGTGCTTCACTCCACCTCTTTCACATTGTTATTGATGTGATTGCAAGAGGTGTATGTAATTTCAGATGTGTGATAACATGCTAGACCACATGTCTTCATATCGGCACATGAAACATTTCCACATTTCCAGTAGCACTTTTATTATTAGCTACTCGGAGGGATAGGTGCTGATTAGGATGTGTTTGCACAGGAAGCCAAATGAGTTCAATGTGTTTCCAAAATTGCTGTTGACACATTGAATATTTGGTGGAATATTTTCAGGGATGGTAATCATTTTCAGGGTGGCATGGTGGCTTCATGTGTGTGGAGTTTGCATGCTCTCCCTGTGTCAACATAGGGTTTCCGCTGGGTTCTCGGGTTTTCCCCCACAGCCCAAAAACATGCTGAGGATAATTGGAGTTACCTGTGTATGTGTGCCCTGTGATGGGTTGGCTCCCCATCCTGGGATGGTCCCTGCTTGGTGCCCATAGGCTCCGGACCCCCTGCCACCCAGAATAGGACAATCTGCTACAGAAAATGGATGGATGAAAAGGAAGCCATGGAGGTCGCGGAGTAGACACTTCCTGACTTTGCGTGTGCTTCTCATTAGGAGCCAGAAATTACATGCTCACAACAGGTTGGGGGGGGCATAATGTCCTGGGGGGTCTTTTTTCATGTGTAACATGTACCATGTTAGTCTTTTCCTCCTGCAGTTTAATTAGTTTTGCACAAAAAATAACAAGTTATTTCATGTCTGATAGTATGGGGACCTGAAATAGGTCACTACTGTATGCTTCCCAGTTCATACTATGGTCATTCTTTGTCCTCAATGGCTGCATAATGCACTTACTAAAATGATAAACAGCATCAGAAATGGTTTTGATGTTTACATTTCCATCCTTGCAGGGGACACAGTGAACTCTAAAAAAAAAACAAAACAAAACAGAAAGTTGTCTTCAAAGTGTTGCACGTATTTTTCTGTGTGTCTTAACAAAAGCAGATGATGACAAAGGGGGTGGGGGAGTGGGGGGGCTCGCGTGGCCTCAGCCCGGATGTAGGGGATTTTTATAACAGGTTACATAAAGTTTCAGAGCCTTGGGGAGAAATCACTGTCCTCCTGCAGCTGTGTGCAAATGTTGAGCTGGACCTTCTGAATGTCAACAAGTCCATCTTAAAGTCGAAAATCATCTCACACCATCCATGTTAACAAGCACACATTCCAAGGTAACAGACAAGACTGCGAGACACAAATGAATAACAGAAAATGTCATTTACTCTCACAAAGGTATCGCAGGTCTGGTCTATCCAGTGAAGCAGACATGAGCTCTTAGCAAACTGAAACAGAAGATTTAATGCTCCTCTGTCTTTAGGTTTGAACACAGTTACAGTACTCTGCAAACAATCAGAGGAATGCTGTAAATAATTTGGGTAATAGCTCAGAACACGGCCTACTGAGGCCAGGCGTGTGGAGTTATTGGCATGTGGGTCCTACCTCAGGTACCAGTTCCAGCAGTTTAATGGTGCCTGATTAGGTTGTAAAATTTCTGTTGGCTCAGCCTGAGAATCCAACCCCCCCCCCCCCGAATTACTGCTGTACACCGGGACGTCCCATAGCGTAGCTGTAAGCATGACTGAAGTCTGCAGGGGGAAGATGCTGCATAAAACTTCAAGGAGGATAGAAGTAAACACGAATTATAATTACTGTGATCATTTTTAATTTCTGTAGTTCTGAAGCTGGTGTCAGGGTTGGTTCAACAAAGAAATGAGACAGAGCACATGGAGAACAGCAAATATTCCACAGAGGGCTTTTGCTGGCCTCCTCGTTGCCCATTGGTCATTCTGGATTGTGCAAGTGCTGTTGTGTAACCCTGACATTTCAGCCAGTGTCAGTTGGCAGGGTGCGGTGGCAGTGGAACAGGCCTGTCTGGTATGAGTGTGGGGATCTGGGAGTATAGGGTAGACCTTGCCCTGACAGGTCTTCAGTGCCAGAACGGTGCTCAACTCAAGAAGCCACAACTGCAAAAGTAACTTCGCCCTGGGATGCTGGCCCTTATTACGTTTCTGTAGATAAATTTTAAGATACTGAAGTGGAACAGAACTGTTTATGCCAATAAGATTTATGGTTAATACAGTAAGATTTGCAAGACCGTGTTTTTCAAAAACATCACAATGACATATGCGATTACAAGTAATGAAATCACAATTGTGGAAATGTGGTATTCATATATAAAATCATCCATCCTTTGCTCATGGAAACAAATGGTTTGACGAGAACTACAACATTTTAAGAAGTTGCTTGGTAACATGGATTGGGAATCAAGGGAATATTTATTTTCAGATAAAAGCAGAGTTGGTACAAGATTATTTCCTGCAACGTTTTAAGTGTTTTAATATGCCTGGTCGTTAACACATAAGGTCACCCCCCGAAACACCTTGACGTAGTCTGGAGTCCCATCTGCCTATTCAGTATTCAGTGCTGTCATCCTTTTCCTGCTGCCCCGACCCCCTGGCTTCTGGGAATCTGGGGCAAAAATTAGGATTTAACGGTGTCACCTGGGACACAGTGCCCCAGTGACCATGCTGGATAGTCTCGGCTGGGTGGCACCCAGCTGCTTTGGGAACGTGTCCAACAGTCACCAGCAGCTTTGCTTTTCCTGTATTTTTAAGGCTCAGATTTGATAATGTGCTCATCGTAAATGCTGAATTTATCCTACTGTTTTGCCTGGGCAGTCAAAGGCTGAGATCATCAGGGGATTTTGGTTGAGACCTAAGTCACAGAGAGAGAATCAAGAAGCTTGGATGGTGTACAGATAGTAGAAATGGGAAAAAAAAATCAATCAATCAACCAGTTGCCTGCTGCTCCCTTTTCTATTTACCAGTGGGCCATTTCTTTACAGGAAGCTGGAGGTTCTTGACCTGTCCCACAATGAGCTTCTCCGCATTCCCTCCTTCTTGCCGGTTCCTCTGCGACATCTGTCTGTGCACCACAACCAGATTGAAAGCATCCCGGGCCTGGTGTTTAGTCACCTCCGACCAGGCCTCGTGTACCTGCATCTGGCGCACAACAGGTTGGATGAGGGTGGCCTGGAAACTGCAGCCTTTCAGGGCTCGGAAGACACACTGGCTCAGCTGCTGCTGGACCACAACCAGCTGCGGTCTGTTCCATCGGCACTTCCACGACTTCAAGCTCTGCGGTTGCTTCGGCTCGACCACAACCTCATCAGGTGGGTCTCGGCTTAAAGCCCCAGCCCCCCTTTTCATTCTGTCATTTGGGGGAAGGTCACACCAAGGTCAGCCTGTGTGAGTAAGATCTCCACACTTGGATCTTCTCATTCTTCACTGATGATGAGTTCTCGCTTCAGAAGTCATTGTGCCTGGAGTTTAGCTGGTGTGGATCAGAGCAGGTTCAATAAAGGTGACCAAACTCTGTCTTCTTCCTTATGCAGGGATCATGCAGACACCCCACCTTAATGATATCCTGGGACAGCTGGTGGGGGGGTTGCTGGCAAGGCTTGAGCAGTATTATGATAATACAATATATTACATCATTTTTTGTGTGAAAATCCCCCCCTCCACCCCGGCAAAAAAGGCATTGCTTTTAAAATCCATCAAAATACCATATACCACAATATCTGGATGGTATGACTATTAAAAATTAGGCACTGAACAAGCCTGGTGTCCAATTAACACATCACTCCTTAGGTCTGATATAGGCATTTTCTATACCACTAATCTTCTAGCTGATACATTTCTTGATTGGTCCTGAAAACATGCTGAGAGACTGACCAAGCTCTCCACTGTTCATGTTGATATTCTTTGCCATTAGTCTTAAACACTTTGCATCCTTTACCATGACTGTTGAAACTGACAAATGCTTCATTGTCTATGTTGAAGACTTCACATTCTTTGTTGTTTATGTTTGTTGTTTCACATCCCCCACAACTCATGCTGAAGATCTCATGTCCTTTATCATTGGTGTTAAGAATCCTGTAGTACTCAAACTCGAAAATAGAGTCTAAGGTTGACGCTTTGCTCTCTCCCATCCAAAACATTAAAAAAAGAAAAAAAAGAAAAAAAGCAACAGAAGAAATACGCGTAACCAACCACTTAACTTGAAACTATTTACTAAATTAAAATAATACGACTGTATACAAAGTTTTCCATGTAGCAAAGGATTTAAAAAAAAATTTTTTTTGAAGTACTTCGAAAGTCAAATAAGAGAGACAGAAGTCAAAAGACCGTGCGGCTCCATCCTCCACTAACTAACTCTTTAATGATGCTAAGGTACAAACCTTAACTTAACTTAATCTGATATATTATTGTAAATAATAATTGCAAAATAATCTCCATCAGCAGCATAAGACCCATTATACTTCCAGAAAGAAAGAAAGCCAGAGGACAACAGAGGACAGGAACCAAAAACTACCAAGTAGGGAGAAAAATAACCTCTGGGGGTCCAAGGTCGATTGGCTGCCTAATCCCCCCCCAAGGCATGCTAACATTATTGCAAAGGAAAGAGTGGGCTTGCTTGCTAAAAGCAAGGTGCAAACTGTGGTCAAGGTCAAAGCCAATGTCCATCAATGAGTGAGTTCTCCACGCCAGCCTGGGTAGGGTGGCAGATCGAAGGCGGCACCCACAACGTTACAGTTCTTAAGTCACATCCATTATGTCACCCTTCCTTGGGACTGAACTGGACTCCAGCTCTGATGGTGCCCAGCCCAGGCGCCATCAGGACGGTCTCCACAGCTTGTGTTGAAGACCTCATGTCCTTTACCATTAGTGTTACAGATCTCACATCCTTCACTTTCCCAGCTTCTTGCTGTTTGTGTGCAAGCATACTGTCATGCTGATGACAGTGTCCAGCAGACAGAGAGGCAGGATGTCAGCCCCACATTCCACTTCCCTGCTGTTTTTCTTAAAGGCTTCATTCCAGCTACTGCTCCTTTGTCAGCTGAATGCAGCACTGTTTGCTTCCTATCAGCTTTTTTAAATCCTGCAAGGCAGCCTGTTTTAGGTCACATGCGGCATTTGCTGGCCTTAAATGCTGGAGGCCATGTGTTTACTGCAGGGATAACGTTTGCATTTTCGTTCAGCCCATGTGTCAGAGCACCTTTTTAAATGGTTACTTTCATCCAGGTTCACTTGCCTTGCTTTTTTCCTCAGTTGATACCTATGTCTGTGAGCTGATACCTATGTCTGTGAGAGTAGTAATAGAACTTTATTGATCTGGAAGGAAAGTCCAAAAGAGCTACAGCAGCATACACAAAAGTGACTTCACACTGTACATATAAAATAGAAAAAGACACAATGCTATACAAAAGATACAATGCAATACTAAGTTGCAATGTGCAGTATGAAACATTTAAAAATACAATAACAATCCAAAGGGCTGGCGACTGAGTGGGGCGAGGGTCCGGGGGATACTTAATGTAGCATCTGATGGCCGCTGGGAGAAAAGACCTCAGATAGCAAAGCAGAGCAGAGCAGAGCAGCTGTTTGAGTCTGTTGCTGAGTGTGTCACTTAGCAGCCTTGCTGGGACAGAGTCACCAGATAATTCAAGTCATGTAGGACACTTTGAGGTACTTCAGGCTTTGCAAACTACTTTAAAACTGAAGGGCTCCTGTGCTTGGTTAAACAGTTCAGTTCTTCTTGCGCTTTGACTGTTTTGTTTGATTAAAAGACTCATCCAGCTGTTTCACATTAAAATTAGTGGCACATGCATGATTATAGGAGACTGACCAATCAGCACACAGCAAGAACTCAGTGCTTAAGTGAAATCCAGATCCTTTTAATCGAAATGGTAGTTTACAAATTCTGTCCTAGCTCAAAGTGTCCTATCTAACATGGATTATCTGGTCACCCTATGCTATGATTCCACATTCTGAAAGTCTCAAATGGGAGCCTTTTAAATGAGAGCTAAGCACCACATTACAGGTGGCCGAGGGAATCTCACCCATGGTCTGTGCTTCCATCCCACAGATACGTCCCACCGAACTCCATCTGTGACACCCGGATCCACAAGAACTCCACCCTGGCCTCCCTCCATCTGGAGAACAACCCGATTGACTGCAGTGACGTCCAGCCTGCCGCTTTCTCCTGTGTTGAGGTTGTTCGGGGACTTCATCCCCAGTGCCACAAGGGGGAAGAATAGGCCGTATAGGATGGGGTTCGCCCGAGTTACCACCTCCTTCTCTCTGCTCCCTGCCCTGTATCCTCTTCCCACATTTATTTTAGCTGGGAAAACTTGGCCTTTCCTCAACCCCCCCCCCCCCACAGAGGTGCAGAAACTGCGTAATGACCACAGAGTTATATCTTGGCCATAACCTCAATTACTCTTACCCCTGTTCATAGCCCAGAGGTCCTTCCTCTCTATCTGGAATAGCAATGAAATTGTTACCCCCCCCCCCCCCACACACACACACACACACACACACACACACACACATACACACAGCTGGACAGATGACCAGATGGCCATTGATTGGCTGGGTTACTGACACATGATTAGTGTTGAATTCTGGGATAAGCTGAGCACTGAGAAGAGAGGCGTTAAAGGCTATGACTGCTGGTGGGAGGGGTTCAGTCTGTGGGGGCTTTGATACGGTCGTGTGTGGTAAGTCTCGGTCTGAGACCGAGTGTGTGCTGTGACACACTGTCTGTGCCTGCATAGGAAATAAATATCATTGGTGCTAGATACATCAGCCAGTTATGTTACTTCCCTGAGACATTGACTACTATTTCTGTGTTTGTTTCATATAACATTTAAAAATAACACGCTAGTTCAGTGCTGCAGAGATGTTGCAAAAACACAATATCGTTTTACTCTGGCTTTTCATGGCCTTCCAGAGCAGGCCCACATGGTCAAAGCTGATCTGTGCAGCTATGAAGGAAGACATTTCTGTACAGACTGAAGATCCTGCTGCTTTCATTCATACATTTTCTACAGCATGTGGCTCCTTTTCAGTACTGAAACACTGAACTTCAGGATGTTACAGGATACAATTGGTCTGTTTAGTTTGCTCTTCCAAGGTAAAGACAAAGCCAACTGCTACGTTTTTTTACCCACTTAATCAGCTACAGTAGATCTTACTGAAGTTCCTGAATCAGGCACCACATGTCACCTTCGCACTGAAGACATAACCAACCTGGCTGCAACATGCTCTGTCATTTTCATCCACAGGGTTAAAGCTTTTTGTCATTTCCTTTGCTCTGAATGCTCTGTACATAGCGTTTTCTCTAAATGAACCTTTTCTCCGGAGGATCAATGAGACCACAGCATTCTGAATCTATCATAAACACAGAGCCTTAACACTGGTCTACTTGTAGTGGTGGATCCAGCATAAATGATGCATGAGATAGTAAGGAAGGAGGACAATCAAGAAGATCGACAAAACTTTAACAAAACAGTGTTGCATTGTGGGTATGGCTATAAAATGCCTTTCGTTGACTGTGATGACATATAGCTGGGATGTAGCCATGGAGAAGACAGGGTTCTCCAGACACTGACAGCAGCCCCCCCCCCCCCCCCATCAGGGGCTATTTACCCCTGCAATGGTGGTGGTGGTGGTGGTGGTGGTGGTGGTGGGGGGGTGCTAGATGGGCTGACTGCATGGCTTACGTTGTACAAAGCCTGTGTTCTTTAGGAGTGGGGGGGGGGGAGGGACAATTACCAAGAAATTGAACCCAGACGCAGGTTTGTGCTCTGGGATTCTGCAGTCACAGGCCACAAGAAGTCAGGAGTACTGCCAGCATCACTGATGTGCTGACTGAAACGCTGCTGTTGTTTGTCTCTCATCCTCATTTTCTGGACTTCAAACTCATTGTTAATGACAATGGACCTCTATTCCACTTGTGTCCTCGGGTCTAAGAAATCAACCTGGGCTGTTTCTTGTGTTCTGATGTCCAGTACAAAGCCGATTATTGTCCTTTATGTTTTTTTTTTCATCGGAATGCCCACGGGATTATAATGCCCTGGTCAGGGCATGTTTTCACTTACAGCTGTCCTGTCCATCCTGAACTCTTTACCTGTAACCAAACCCTACAGGTGCCAACCGCTGAGGGGGGGCCAGCTAATTTCATTTGCTCTAAGACAGGGGGGCGTGATGCTCAACTGGTGCTGCCTGCAGTTCCTTTGCATTTAAAATTTATTGCCTGTACATTAAGTGCATTGCTTAATTATTAACCATTGTAGTAAATTTACATAGGTGACTGAAGAATTCTGTGTTTTCACTGCATTGATGAAATCTCCATGGCTGCGTAATCTGTGATGCCTGCAGATGCATTCTCTCATCATTTATAAGTGTCTTCATATTTCATCTGTAGACATGCGATAGCGTTTTATATGTATTGTGGGGGTGTGGGTGCCGGTATTGCCTAGGCCTTGCTGTTCTCGTTCTCCTACGGGATACGCTGCTTGTAACCTCCAGCTTGCTCTCGTCACATTAAAAAGACAGAGCAGTAACATGAGAACACACGAGCAGCAGCACTGCCGAACTGTGACCGTCAATGACCGGCGTCGACGGGTGAGAGCGGCCTCACGAGGAACCGCAGGGTCAGCATGCCGCCCTGTGTGATGTCAGCAGAATCATCAAACAGACTCCCAGCGTCCTAATGTCAGAGAGGGTCCCACAAAATAAGCGACTGCATCCGGGCTTGACAGGGACTGTCCGAGATCTGCCTCTCTCCCCGCCTCCCTTATCTCCTCCTATTTATCGTGTTTGTTTTCTCTGTTACTCTGAAGCCATGTTGAGTTTGCAGCCAAGAAGCCCCTTTTAACAGACTGAACCCAGTGAACTTGGGACACTGCAGTGAATACTCGCTCCTCCTTCCAGTTCACATCCATCCCTGCCAGGCAGTCCCCTAACCTCCCCTGTGAAGATTCAGCGGAAGTTAGAAGTAAAAAAAATCATGTCAATGCATAAACTCTTTTTCCAGAGGGCAACCGGCCAGAGCGCGGAGCCAGTTCTGTATTATGGGGTGGCTAAATTTACATGGCGACCATGTGCACTGGTGCAAAGAAGCTGAAGGGTTTAATTGACATCCCTTTGCGTGTGCGGTGTTTGCGTTGTGGACGGGAACCGATGACCACTCATCAGCGATCTCTCGGTTCTCCAAGTCTCTCCATGCAGCTGCGCCGTTGGCTGCCATCTTAGTGAGACGGTGGGAGCTGTTGTCTTGGATTCTGTTTGCTTTGTTCTGGGCCTAGAACGCTTTTCCACCTGACCAGAGTGTCTGGAGTGAGTTATGTGTACTAAAACAACACTTACAATACAGTTCCTGGCCCTGTCAATAGTGTTGCTAATATCCTCCTTGAATCGCAGTATTGTTTGAAGGAAAACAAATTGCAGCCGTGTGCGGGTGGTTACTGTTGCTATGCAAAATGCTGCACATCATGTTGGTGTGAACGAGAAAGGGTGCAGCCTCATTATGAAGGGAAAAAGCAGTACTGTCTTAACTGGAGAGCACATGGTGTCATCTGGGGCTGCCCCACTCCTACTGACTGAATTGTGCCTTGCCGTCCAGAGCACGTCTTCTCTGGGCCCTGTGGAAGTCGCTCGGCCAAGTGTGGGTAGGTATGGCGCATGAGTCAGCAAGACGATCATTCTTAGGTGTTTGTTCACACATATTAGATGAAGTGATTTGGGGGGGTCTTTCAGCAGCAGTGTCTGTAATAACCGCACCATGACCAAAATGTGTGATTCCAGTTCCATAAGCGTCCAGTCTGACATCTGTGTGAAATGACTGGTGCCCATTTGGGAACTGGACTTTCTCTCCAGGTCAGAAAAATCATCTCCTTAGTTACATAAAATAAGATTGCAAAAACGTGACCTGAGAGCTCCAAGTCTGAGAGCCTTCGTCCATCTCGTTTGAAAATGCACAAAGCGAATAAACTCCCGGAATTGAAGGTTTAATGTTTTACGAGTGTTCAGTGGGTTATCATCCCATTATGCACGGCCCATTAGTGCAGACAATGGCAGTTGTGTTAAACATTTGAAAGAAAGGGGTTAGTGTGGAAAGAACAGAGGAGGAAAAGTCTATTTTGGTCTCTGGCTTCTGCCAGATTTGTCTGCAAGAGGCTCACTGTATGCGTTTCAGTTCTTTACTTCACCAAAGTGTTATATAATCATTGTGAGTAGAAATATGTTTTCAAATGCTCATCTGATAGGACCAAAAAAATAAAAATACATACTGAAGAATATGGGATCTTCAAAGGCAGATTTTTGGAACACATTCCCCAAGGTGGAGTGGTGCTTCGTCTACATTCTGGGACTGATAAACGGTATCTTCGGTTTGCAGACATTCAGGAGAGTGCAAATCCACAGCGATACTGGTGTTGGGTAAGCAGGTGTATTTAGGGTTAGAGACACTGATGCTCAGAGCTGAAACACTGTATTAAAACACATGCTGATACCTCCCAATCACAGACACCACAGTCTTTAATCAGGTCAAATAAATGTATGTAAGCAGGAAAATATGTGTTTATATATGAATTAATGAGGGTCTACTGAAGGTTTATGTTGATTTTTTTGTCCATTCCCGTTCCCCCAACTGTGTTTCCTTAAGTGCATCCTTAAGGAATGTCAAGTCAGCTTGAACCCTGAATGTGTATGTTTGGGGGGGGGGGGGTTATCTCCCCAGTCCCACCCCTTTATAATAACAAACACAGGAAATTTCTGTTGCAGAAAGTGGAGACAAGGGGCAGGAAAACATGCTCTCTAAACATTAGAAGCAAACAAAACTTCATTCTTTTGTATGTAGTTCCAGTTAAAACCATGTCTGACCCGTTCAACATCTCTTAATGAGAAAAATCCTAAGTTGACACCAGCCCACGTCACCGTTAAACTGTTCTTGGCGAGTCCATATATCTGCATTCATATGTGACTTCTTGTGAACATGCCTAGTGCTACAATGGGGAGGAACATTTGAGGGAATAGGTGTAAGTGTCTCTGACCTTCGGCTTATAGGCACTGCCAGATGTTTTTCGGGAATCAGGGAGCATGAGGACAGTGCACTAAGTGGCGAAAGCGCCGTGGTTCTCTGCCGCAGTGGCTATGAGAATACCGTCCTACTAACCACACCAAAGGAATCTTCTCATGGCTCATTAGTTACAAGCAGGGGCAGAGTTACCATAAGGCAGGGGCAGGCAGCCGTCTGGGGCCCCGGAAACTAGGGGCCCCATGAAGACAGAATTTCCATATATCATAATATCATTGTTAAATAACAGCAACATGTATGTCATTTGCATTTTTAGCGAAAGTTT